AAAAAAATGGTTACAATAAAAACAAGACACATTAACACACCTCACCATTCTATATGCTATTTTTATTATCTATACTGTATGCTAAAATACCCTTGTGAGAACTGTCTTCATGCAAAAATATGGCAACATAGTACGAATCCTCCTCTCATTTCCCACTGGCTGCCAAGTGCAATTAATTTATTAAATGTCCTGGGCGAGTATGTTGCCCTGGCAACAAATGATTTCCAATTTAAAGTTTAATCTGAATTTCTTCTGCTCTGTGTACTTGGCAGGATGGACTATGGCTTCATCGAAGACAGATATAATTCTGACTCAGAGATACTGTGCTGTAACATTATGTGTGCTCTGACAGGACATATGAAAAATATTTAACAAGACAACATCTTTGCCTTTTTCAGATCCCATCATATTCATACAGAAGAGATTTGTTTCACAATCTTTGTCCTATTTCACACTTTGCACAAACAAAAATAATCACATTTTTAGAAAATACACTGAGACAGTGGATTTGCTGGAGCTATACTCCTCTGAGAGAGGAGTGATGGCGAGTGTGTGTGATTTGATGTCTCAATCAGGACAGGGACAGCCTCAGTCCCCTCTGTGCACTGACTGAGCACATTACTATTACCCAAACTCCTCTGTCAGGAGGAGAAGTTACGGGCCAGTGAGGGAAGACCATGGGCTGAAACAGCCATCTAGTGTCACAGAGCTGGCCTCAGGGGGATTTGGGGATGATTGGATGTGAACACTCAGCGCTGTCCTGTTAGTTTTTCAAGTTGCAAATGCTGTTTCAAGATATTTTCTGAACTTACCACATAGCATAAAGATGCATGAGCTTTAACTATGTTGTTTGGAATTTTGTTCCTTTGAACAAATATATCTAAATAGAAATATAAATAAAACCAAGGCATTTCTTAGAACTTCTAGATTTGTGCTTTTTGCTAACATCTTCTGGTATTACTCTGGGCTCTAGAGTGATATAAAAAAAAAAACTGGGTCCTCATAACTCAGATCAGATGTTTTCTTTGGCTTTTGCTGTTTCAATAATTGCATTCTTCACTGTGATACTCTGTTGTATTTTATCTTTATGCATAGCACTTTGGTTGAATTAGTGTTTTTGATAATGCTTCATGAATAAACTGGATTGGTATTTAAACACTCTCTTATCAATTCTGTTTTTCAGTCTCACCTCAGGATGATTCTGGCCCCTTGACAGATGTGTAATGTCCTCGAAGGCTGCATTTACTAAGGTCACTGAAATAAAAGCACAAACATTATAACATATCTATTTAAAGATTTATTATTTCAGTCTCCATTACCATAAACAACCAATTTTAGGAAGATCTGACTCAAGTGACTCACCAACCACATATCATTAATTCTAAAAATACAGTGACTGCTAAACTATTTACACACACTGCTGAGGCCTCTGTGGCATCTGCAACAGATGGTCATTATCCTGCATTATAAGTAACCACACTGACAATGATTATGCTTAACTCTGGCTTGTATAGCTGTGGTATGTAATGTAAACATTAGGTGTAGGTCACAGTTTAATAAGGTAATAATAAGGCAAAGGTGCACTATGTACATTTTTATAACGTTTAATGCCATACAGTGGAACATTGACTTCAGGCAAAGTAAATTCATCTCCAGGACTGAACCCAGAAGCGGACTCCTACCAAAAAAGTTACATTGCGCCTTTAACATTCACTTTTATCTATATATGAGATCAAGGAGTAGGGAAAATTATGAGGCCTTTTTACTTGGTGTTATGTAAAGTAAAGTGATTAATCGCTACCACTACAATTTTTAGACATCACGGAACAATTCAATAGGCTATGCTTTGTCAAGGCCCGGTTAAATTCATAATTCGACTTACTATCACGTGTCTGTGTTCTGTAGTTCTGTAGCGCAGAGAACACAGCTGAGGATGAGAAGGAAAATATCGCCATCTGGCGGACACTGTAGGCACCGCTCTTCGTGCATATAGGGGTTCCCCGACACTTATCTACACCAAAAATTTAACTTTGTGGTAACTTAAAGCATATATATTTGTAAGTAACACACACCACAGATTTGATAAAACAATAATGACAAAGTGAAACCCATCTCAGAATCATTGCCATGAACCTACCCAAACCTGCAGCCTAAAAACAACCAAAAATGAAAAACCTGTAGCCTACTTTTACGGCTCTATCTGCATACGTGCACTCACTCTAAAACAGTAGTGCCGCTTACTGGCGGGAAGAAGGAAAAAAAAAAAAAAATTAATTAATTTTAAAAAATGGCGGGAAGAAGGAAAAAAAAAACAAAAAACTTTTTTTTTTTTTAAACAATAAAGACTGCATGATTGCGGATGCTGCATATTTTAGTATGTTGCCAGGGTCATTGATTTGGAACTGTACAGACTTTTGTGTTGTTTTATTTGTTTCTAACCCTTCATCACTATTCTCATTAAGCACGTCACAAAATATAATCGGGAACCTATTCAGCATAGACTATAAATGAAACTCTAGACACAAATTAAGTTGTATTGATATTTAATATTGACACATGGGGCAACAGCCATTTTTACAGCACAATTTGCATAATTCATCAATACCTCCTGTATACAATCACAAAACCATGACAGTATGTCAGTATACTTTACAAGAGGAAAACCGGGACAGGTTTACAAGCATATCTTTGTACAGTCAGCATACAATATCATATATTATTTGCCTCTATATCTATTTCCCTCAATATCCTTCTACTTCAGTCATTTTTTCATTAATATCTGGACACAAAAATAGTATGAACCACCAACAAAACATGCAACATCCAGTGAGGGCACATTTAAATCTCCTTGTTAAGATTTGTGTTAGTTAGACTATGATAATGCTTTAGTGTTTGGTATGAGGGGGGTTGATGAATCTCAGTCCATAAAGACAGAAGGCTTATTCTTTTATCTCATCACTGTACATTATTCAAGTCAATTGTACCTAGTTGTCTGCCATGAACCATTTGCCCACAAAACCCAGTACAAAACATGTATTTACAAAGTTGGAAATAGAGATGACAGTTGTATGGGGTACATGAAAGTGTATTTTCATCTTTAGTGTCACGAAAAATGCAAAAATAAAACAAACCACAGTTTAAGAAAAATATATATGAGCCAATGGCATGCATGGACTTAGTATGAAGATGCTATACGTACAAGCACATAGATACAAAAATAACAGGTAGAACCAATAAACATTTTATGCAGAGTTTACCCTTTTATACAATTGTTATGGATATGTTACTGAGCAATGAAACTAGCCAAATGAAAAGTGTATGATAAGTACATTTCTACCTGTGAAGTTGAGTTTTTGCAAGTATTTGTTTGTAAAAGAAAATGGAATTAGTTCTCTGAGTTTTTAGGCCCTCTAAATATTGTAAACAAACATCACCAAGTATAAAAACCTCACTTCTTATCTAAAGCTGATCTGTGAATAAATAAATAAAAATAATTTGATAATTTAAAAACACAACATGGATTTTAATGTAATAAAACAATATTAACAAAACTAATTGCAAACTATAACCAAAAGTGAAATTTCTCAATTAGAGATATACTTGCTGTCCAATGTTGCATAGAAGCCACTCAGTTTTGTTTTTTTGTTTTTTATTCAATGAAAGAGTAACTTATAAAGCCACTGATTCACTCCTGACTTCCAAGTGCACACTGAATGGCCTTCTTCAGATGCTGCAAGATCAACTCAACATTGTAATATTACGTTAGGACAGCATGTACAAGGAACATAAACACATAAATGTCTTACTGCCACTGTTCTAAGTGATGTATTTTATTACACGATCTTTGTAAGCCAATGTAGTATAACATTGGTTCGTTTGAAACCCTTCCTCATTCCTTTAAACGTAAACACATATATGGATATGTAATTTAAAGCAGAATGACCATGTTACCTTTACATTCTGAGCAAAAAGTGCAAAATAGTACAAAAGCAGTCTAGTCTAAACGTTGTGTGCTTGGATCTCCTGACAAAAACACATGTAAATGCCAAATGCTGAATTAAGGACTCACATTTGGAGGGGCATTGTGGATAAATAAAAGCTCTATCACAATCATTAACACTCGATTGTCTGTGATAAAGATAACTCTATCTATATATTCTATATATCTATCAGTATAGTTAAACTTCCAGTGTTAACATTTTATTCACTATTTACAAAGTGAACCATTGAGGTCTTCTGTGCAGAACATGTGGCACTGCAAACCGAATACTCATGCGCACAATATATAGTATAATATCAAGACTCATATATCAGATAGTATGAATATTGACTATATCAAATAATAATTATTATTATTTCATCACCTTAAACTTACTTAAGAAACACAATCGGTTCTCAGGAGCGATAATTAAATACATGCTGTAGGATTCTTTTTCTCTTTCTGTGGAATGCTAGACAGTGTTACAAAATAGACTATCCTTCCCAAGGAGACAACAAATAAAGTCTCTGCTATTGTTATAATATAAAAATAAATAAGAGAACTTTATAAAGCAGTAAATAAAATTTAGATGTTTTGTAAATCAGTAAACTCTGTAGATAATAAATCCATGGGATATGGTGTAATAGTGGCTTTCAAACAATTTAACGAATAAAATATGCAAGTTCTACAATAACTGTTATGTCTATTCCCTGTTTCTAGTAAACTTTAGTATTATTTTTAGTGTCAGTGAATGTGTGTTAGTGACTGAAAGTGTATATGTAACATATACATATCATGAATCTGTTAAAATGTGACGTACCTGGTTGATTACTCTTGACCTTTGACCCTGGTTACACTATGCTGTGCATTCTGTAAACATGTCAACAGTCTCTTCTAGAAAACATTTATCGATCATCTCTCTTTTATTGTCCATTGTTGCACTGCATCCAGAATTTAGTTTGCCCATCGTATATTGATAGATGTTTAATAAAATCGAGGTCACTGGCATTTCTGTGTCCTTCTATGAGTGGATTTGGGCAGTACTAGCGTGCAGCTTGTGCCAGCTCACCACCCGTTTACGTAGATCCACTTTGTCCAACCACACGTAGGCCTCACCGATTAGGGTCTTCTTCACAAACTTGCCTCCATTAGATACCAGGAACAACTGTTTGAAGGTACAGTCAGTACTTAATAATGCATACATACACATTTCTGTCATTTGTATGGTATAAAAAACAAAATCACCTGTAGGGCATGGCCTGTGGGGTTCATGCAGAAGCGGAAGGTCTCATTGAAAGATGGCTCTCGGTCATGGCGGCACACTCTGGTCTTCTTCTTTATGATCCTTTTCTGAGTAGCAATGTTGACTACATACAGCTTCACATAAAGGTCTGTAAGTACAAATACAGATCAGTTTAAATACTCTTTTGCTGGGCAAATCTGACCAACATTTGCTTGAGTACTGTCAGTCATGTATCTTTATTGTTTTATACTGGATGTGTCATGTTTACATATCATCAGCATAATGGTTAATTAAATTCAAATGTCAGTTTTACCTGGCAGGTGGTCCGGAGTTTTGAATTTATAGGTGATATTGCGACATTGAAGAATTTCCAAGACCAGATGGTCACCTTCAGTTTTAACCTCCTTCTTCAGAGCAATTTTAATTTCCCCCATCACATGAGACTTACCTGCACACACACACACCACATATTACAAAGAGACTGCAGTACACACATAGATGAGCGAGAATGACAGGTGACCTCTGGTGGACCCTAAGAGAATTGTCACAATGAGTAATACCAAACACTGACCAAAAAGCAATAATAGGGTTTGCTCAGACCTTAGTTGCCTTAGCAACTCAATAGAAATTGGCCTTTGGAATAAAGGGTCAAAAAGACCTGACAACACTGCATTCTGAAAACCCGCGCTATTCTGGCTAAAGATTAGAATTAAAGTAACTGTAGTCAAATCTGTGTATCATTCTTCATTCATTTCAGATTACATTATTACAAATGAAAACTACAACAGGAAAGCTGTTTTTATATGCAGTAATTCACACATTTTAATTAATGATTGGTGTGATTTAGAACCTTGAGAAAGTAAGATACAAACAACAATTTAAGATGTGTAAATTTCTTTGTGGTCATACAAAAAAAAGTTCTTTTACCTTCACCATTATTGTGCCCCATGGAAGATTTCACCATGTCTGTGCCATTTGGGATTTTCCCACTAGAATAAAGTTTAAAGGAAACCATCAGTATTAGAATATTAGTTTTACATTGTTCATGTGAGTAAGTGAGGTCTTACAATCTGGGCACTTGGAAAATGGCACTGTCCACCTCATTGGCTTCTGCTTCTTCATCCAGCAGGCTGTAGACACTCCCACTCAGCCCACTGTCCAGAGAGGCTGCTGTGACCGGAGTTTCCCCAGATCTGTAGGCTGAGCGGGCTGCACAAATGCCACAACAACGTATATGAAATATTGCACTACTACTGGGAAATTGGGAATTCCTACACATTGTTATAGTGGACACAAGAGTATAAAAATGAATCACACAAACAGTGAAGAGCAGCAAGAAGCACACAATGTCATTATCTCAGACAGACAATGTAGTAATGTGACATTACATTAAGAGTAAATCTGAAACATTACATTTATAAGAGCATGTTTTAACAAGAGGCACCTAAACTATTTAACATTGTTAGTAGGTATATGAATGTATTTAAATGTAACATAACTTTTGTTTCATTATATTTGTTTATCTTTTGTATTGATTGATTTCCTTCCTCCCTCCTGTATACAGTCTAAAATGTATGAATGAGGTGAAGTATGTCCATGAGACTCAAGATTTATGTTAAATACATCACTTTCTGACCACTCAACACAAAGTAACTGTGAGATCATAAGACCAGTGCATGTGAAAGCCAAGATGAGAGAATTATATTCTGACATTATAACTGCGTGGTAGTAATGAACTGTGTTGGTGGGCTATTAAGGAGTGTGTTTAATTGCATGAATCTTGGGCAATTTAATTCAACTCAAGTTTTCTCATGATTTTATTAAGTGTATAGGATGTCCCTCACTTTTTGCAGGTGTGTGTTAGTAGTACAGCATTTCTCTCACACATTTTCCGTGCTCCCTCAGGGCATTGGTCTCTGCTCTCACCTCCGCAGCTCTGGGGCCTCTCCTCTGACCAGGCCTTCCTGAGAGTCACATGTCTGCCATCCGGAGGGCGTCTCAGGGCCACAGGCGGCAAGGTGGGCAGCCAGTCGGACTGGGCTCTCTGAATGGTGAGCACACCCACTACGCTGTGCCTTTGGGGCCTCAGTGAAAAACGACCTCTATTTCCTGGATCCATTAGTTTGTGTGGGCGCAGGTCACAAGTGAAGGATCAAAACCAGGTAACAAAGGTCATGGTTCCAGTCCAAGATGGAGGAGGGAGGAGCAAGATGGAGATTCAGAGAGTGGGACAGTGTCTCTTCACCATGGATACCAACGTCATGCAGCCACAGTGAGCAGTGTACATTGGCGCCACCTGCATGTCTCTGTGAGGCAGGCTGTGCAGCATGGGCTGAGGGGCATGGTGCTCAGTAGTTCATTAAACAAAGATGGAGGGAGGTAACCAACTGCATGCACAGCAGTCCCCATCAAAGGGGAAACTTGTATGTTGTTTGTTAATAGACTTAAAGACATTTTTAACACCCCCAAAGGGGGAAAAAAGTTAAATAGAAATATCAATGCGGGTTGATATTATCTATTGAAAAAGGTTGGGGTGCAACTTTCTTCTGTCATTGGTGCCATATTTATGGATTTATTGAGTAATTTCACTCATGTAAAAGTTAGTCTAATTCAGCTGAAGTATCTTTATATTATTTATACTATTTTTAATAAAATAAATGATTATTTAAAATGAGATATTAGAATATTTTTACAAATCTTTAATCTAAAGATTTTATGTGTAAATGTAGTATTGCTTGTGACATACTGCTTGTAATTTAGAAAAAAATTAGTTGAAAATAAATTAAATAAAGTGCCATAGTGCATATCAGGGCTTGGTCTATCATATTTACATACAGAAGAGAAGTGTGAGGGCTGGCACACTTTGAAAACAGGGGAAGCACCAGGGGTCGTGGTGAGAGGGGCAAGAATCCAAAGAAAACCAAAGGAAGTGAAAATAAATAAGTGAACAGAAGGCTGAACAGATGAATGCGAGGAAGCCATGCTGCGTGGGCTTTATTTGCGTCTTGGTTTACTTGGTTGGAGGCGTTGCGGTGGCTGCTGCTGTGACTGCTCAGGAGTATCGCCTGTAGCTATGGTACTTCCTCTGCCGCTGTCCTGATGGTGCCGTGTGGTGCTTTTGGTATGAGCACCGTGTGAGCGCGAGTGTTGGCTGTGTCCATGACTCTGGCCCTCAGACTGGGCAGGCTTCGCTGTGCCAGGGCTACTGTGAGATTTCTCAATAGAGGGCGCCTGTGTATCTAAAACAACCAGATTAACCAGATTATTATTTGTCTACAATGTCTAGATTACTTTAAAGCAAAAGAGCTTTAGGGTTGCACCACTTCAAGACTATATATTTGAAAATACCAACACTAGGAACTATTTATCGGCCATGCTCTCCTCTGTGTTAGATTTTAATTAGAGGGACGCTAGAGGTAGGTCTTAGACTTTTTTGACATTATGACAACCAAGAAAACAGACTATGACAAAGCAAAAAAGCATGAATATTGTGAGCGATGCAAAAGAATGAGTGCAGAAGCAGGGCAAGCTCTTAAGTGAGAAACTTTTGGACAGATGTAACACCACTTCTCAAAGCAATAAAAGACATAAGAGACTACAGATAAATGATACAACTGAAAAGAATTGTTCAGGGGATTTCATGGTGAGAGTGCTAAGGTCTAGCAGGCAAGTGGTGTTTATGCTTTCCTACCCTTTGCTGGATCTGGAAAGACACCATGACTGCGACTCTTGGTGACAGATGATTTAGGTGAATCCTGGATATCGTGCGTTGAACCAGTTTTTGGTGAGGAATGCTGTGAAGAGGTTTTGGAGCTGTGCCGACTTTGTCCTGAGTGAGATCGTCTGTGGTGGTCCCCTTCACTCTGTTCCTTCAGAGAAAGCCATCGGGGTACGTTGTCCAGTTGAGATGTATTGGAGAGGTCAATAAGAACCTAAAATTGTCAAAAAGGGTCAAAAAAAGGTAAAAAATACATGCATAGCTAAAAAAAAAAACATAGGCAAATTATTTAAAATTGTAAAATCAAGTTTACCTCTCCAAGAAAATCATTGGATGAGCACTTGTCATAGTCCCACACACTGACCTCCAGAGTCTTCTTTTTCAGCTGCAGCATGATTAGATTTAAATATTTGTGAATTGAGCCCAAACCAAATAATAAACAGGGTTATGTTCACATTCAAAGCAACACAGTTGTTTTATATTATCCAAGTCTCACCAGCAAAGTTTAGTTTTGCGAAATTGTTAAGAATTCAAATCTAATTTTAAAATCTTGCTCCTTGTCAAAATGTAACTTTGATACAACTGAAGTGTTTCTCCAATTCTTCAGTCCCATACTAAAGCCCTGTGTGACAGTCTCCTGTATGTACCTGCTCCAGATGGATGTTTTTGTAGATCACAGTCTGGTTCCACTCAGGGTTGATGCTCTTGCCAGCGGGTTTGGACCTCCTCTTGTTTTCAGCACTGGGAAAACACAATAACACAAAACATATTGTAGAAGGGGTCACTCATGAGCACTACCCATGTAGTTTACCAGACCACCAAAATGAGGTGAGAACAATGTAATCAGTACACAGGGTACAAAAGGGTGACAGCAAGGGGAAGTGAGGATGTTGACGCACATTGTTGGAGGAGTGCATGACGTGACAGGAACAATGTACGGACCTATGGGCAGTGGGTTACGATGTCAGGGAGTGCTGCAAAAAAGTCCACTTGGGATGACTCCTTCAACATGCTGTCTTATTTCAAGGGACTGTACAGTGTCGCACACTTGCTAAAATGGATGTTTTTTGCAGTACTGTACTGTATGTTTGGTTTAGGACTGAAGGCTGCAGGGCAAGTGGGATTCTTTCAATATTAGTTTGTTAAAGACAGGAGGGGTTTGAGGGTGTTGTTTTCTGAAATATGTGCGATTTGGATGAGTAGATAAGGTTAGGTATCTAGAATTAAATTACAGTTAAGTACTACAGAGGGAAAAAAACAGCTTGCACAACATTGTTTGGAGCATTATGTCTGTGTGTGTTTTTTAATAAATGAAGTTAATCCTGGTTAGTAACTTTTTACCTTCATAAAGTTGATATCGAGGAAGAAACAACTGCATTTCAACAGAACCAATGGATCAAAGTATAATAATTTATTTTGGCAATTCACATACCTGGCATTCTGGACAACCATGACCTGACTGAGGGGATCCAGCATGCATTAAATATAGAGAACAACATACAGAAACAATAGTCAGCGGGAGTGGGGGGTCAAATGAGTGCCCAAGGATTGTGGACGGTGCATAGCTTGGAAGAGGGTTTTCCCAGACTGTTGTTTTATCAGAAGGGGTTTCTATTGTGTAGTGCACTTGTGTGTATGAACAAAAACTGCATACAATGACAAGGCCTTTTTACAGCTACATCATATAGCCACAGTGATGGGCTGATGGATGGAAATAGATAATGACATTTATGGTATGATCAGCCATATAGACTGAATTTTTTTTATTTTTTATCATTATTATTGAAATATCTGCGCATTCTTAGTGTTGCTAATGAATTTGGGATAAAACTGAAAAAGGTGACATGTACCATAGCATAACATGCATGTTTCTGATCGATGATGTAAAATCAGCACTCTGCACGGAATGTAAAATAATGTTCTCTTGAAAGTATTTAGTACGTGACTGACCTCTTATCACAGAAATTAATGTGTAGAGAGGAAATGGAAATTTTGACTGAACAACACAATAATAGAATAATGATACAAAAATATTTGTGTAGTTTAACAATATATGATGAGCAAAGTAAAAATTACAAAATCATATTGTTTCTTTCTGTCATATATATTTTAAACAGAATGCAACAACAAGCAACAAGATAAAACTGTTTCCCTATTACCACCTTCAGTGTATTCCCATAACTACTTATGTGTGTAAAGTTTCCATCCCCTTGACTCACCCTCTCCCTGGAAGAAGATACACTTTGACAAATGGGTCAGAGTAGCCATTGTTGTCCCGTGGGGCAAGGTTTCGGGCCTGCAGGACATGAACGATCAGATTTCCCAGCTGTTTGTCATAGTGGATTTGAAGCTAAAACAGGAGACAGAAAATCAATAATTTTACTGGAGGAGATATTACATACAGGTAATTACTGAGAAAAAACATGGCACTGTAGTTTAGATGTAATCCTGCTGACATACCTGTATCTCTCCAGAGATGGGGTGTGAATGAGTCTTTGCTCCCTCTGCACTCTATAAAGATGAAAGCATAAAGCAACAGTTACGACTGGTGATGTACTAGTGATTGGTAGTGAATAATGGATCTTTTGTGTTCTGGCATTTGATTTGTAGTTGTTTTATAAAGACTCCTGCCTTGCTGCTATGGCGCTTCTTGCCGACAGACGGAGATCCTGGCTGGGCTGGGCTGGATATGGCAGAGGTGGTGGGGGGCAGAGCAGAGGGGGCCTGCTGCTGTGACACCTTTTGCAGCTCAGCGGCCAGCTGCTTAGGGTCAACGCCTGGAGACCTGGGAGGTCGCTCACCTGTCAGCGGGCACACATCATGTCACATGTCACCAATAGTTAATGAACAGGCACTGACAGCACATGTACAGCCAGGGTGCAACCGTGTTCATAGTAAAAACACAAAAACTCCACACAGACAATAAAGTAGAACATAGATCAGACAGAGCTTCAAGCAGATACTTGTGAACCTACTTCTACTGTGTTCCTGGAAATCCAAGTTCTGAGACGTCTCTGACTCAGCAAGCATATTAAGATCTCTGCAAAGTAAAACCAGTTCAATACAAAAGCAAATAGCACAGACAAATCTAAAATCTAATTCTTAGGGTTTCTACTCACAGTCTTACACACACTTCCGCCTCATTACAAGGCTGACCAACAAGTCCTTGCACCTCTTCATAGGTTTTCCCTGTCAGGAACACACCATTCCACTCCAGGACTTGCATTCCTGAAAACAGAGATTGTTAAATGCGAATGCCATAGCAACTGACATACTGGTATATGGAGTCTGGTTTGCTCAAAATGTACTTATTACCAAAAGTCACTGCAATCCAAGTATTACAACAGAGAGTGTAAAAGAGACACTTTCAGCCCATGGCCCAAACTTGCTTGTTAAGCAGAGGGGGGTTAAAAAGGTTAAATTCAATATATGAAAAATAGATCCACAGGCACACAGCAAACACACTGCACCCTTTAGGCACACCTGCAACATAGCAGGACTTACACGGTCTGAAGCAACTCATGAGCAGGTTCCTGTGTTTGTGGCGATACTCTCGAACTGAAGATGTGGGCGACAGGGAATATGCAGCAATTTAAAACACTAAAAATTATTTAAATTTGTTTTCATGTGACACTGAATAGTGATGGTTCCTTGACACAGTTGAGGGCTCATACAGTGTGCTCTGCAGCCGTTCTGTTCAGTGTTAATGACAGGACTGTTGTCATGGCTCACATGTCCTTGTAGCTATCAGCACCACAGATGTCAACTGACTCCTGACAACTTAAAATCACCAGTCATTGCACAAAACAGATATCAGACTTCAGCTCTGCTGTAGTGAATATAATGTGTATTTTACTCACTTAAATGTTTTATAATATTATTTAGCATACTTTAATATCAAAAATTATGTTCCTTTTTAAGGAAAGTGAGGCTCTTAAAGAAACGTCTTGAAAAATTTATCACAACAATCCCCAGAGCGTTCTGTCTACACTTCTTGCTGTGACAAAAAACACTATTTTTGGAAACATATTCATCACTTCTTGTTTTACACTGTGAAATCAATAATTATTTTAATCTCTGTTAATATTCCTCTCTAACTGTTCAACTTGAGTGTTTTGTGCATTTTTTATACTAGTAATAGTATAACATTTTTATACTACTAATAGCCTAAACTGAGTCATGGTTCTCTCTGAACAGGGCTGATAATTTAATCAGGACGTATTTTTAATACCGTCTTTCAGCTAATACAGTTGCAGCACTCTCTCAAATAGCAACCTAAGCATCTCGAAACATATAAAACCATATGTTTTTTTAACATGTGATTATGGGCTCTGGGTTTGCTTTCTATCTTCTTTGTGAAAGATCTTACCTTCAAGAATTTTTCCAGTTTGTTCTGCTGCTCCACCTGGTAAGACTTTGGCAACGTATGCTCCAATGTCCCCATTACTATTAGGAACTTCTTTACCTCCAACTATGCGGATACCCAGACCATTTCCTTGAAAGAAGGACAGTAACAAGGAGTTCGTTTAAACGCTATATGAAACCCATGCACCAGTAATTGTGCAGAATGGATTTTGGCCTTTCAGTTGCCACTTTGTTCAATGCATAAACAATTAAACATGTCTATGCATCATACCTATAACATGTGGCTCATATATAAACACATTCACATTTTGTCCTTTGCACTGCTTTATTATGCAGTGTATTACCTGAGACAGTGCGGTCCTTGGGATCTCTCTGTAGTTTAACCCTGAGGTGAGGGAAGGGGTAATAGGGGCCTTTTCCCTGTGGTGCATACACAATAGGCAGAGGAATTGGGTTAAATGTACATAAATAAATGGGCATGAATCACACACAGGAGCTGGCTGATCTCCATTTGCGAGGTATGCATTTACAGTAGGCCTGCATACAATAAGTATAGCGCTTCACCTGTCTCTTATCCACTCCGTCTGGTCGTCCATCTCGAGGTTTCTCAAACCAGTCTGTTTCTTCTCGTCTTAGGTGATATGCTTAGGGGACAAAAACACCTTCTTCTTTATGACCAGTTCAAATGACTATAGTTCTTTATAATAGAAATCAATTTGTATTTAGAACAAAGAGGAAAGAGTAGTCACCAACATGTGCAGAGAACAGTTAGTAGATAATTAAGATATTAGTATAGTATTAGTGGATATAATAATTGTAAATATGCCCTACACAGTTTTATCATATGTATGAATATTAATATTGTTTTTATATTTGATGCAAGTATATTGTTGTTACATTTCCTCTACTATTTAACATTTATGCAAAACTGCCCAACACTTCAATACACAGGTTTTTAAGTCCAATTAGTATTAGGCTTGCAAGTTAATGTGTTAGTTAGTACAAGCCTATGGAATAACCAATACCCTACCATGGGTTGTGTCGCCACTGCTCACAGTCATTGGATGTTCACTTAACGCTGAAATCAAGGAACATTGTTGTATTATTTATTAAAACGTAGTAACTAATTTCAATGCAAGTTTCAGTCACTTACACCACTACACTACTGCACAATAACACATACAAAAATAAAAATTTATGTGATAAGATAATTTTCATATGTGAGAGATGACAGCTGAAATAAATGGGAACATAATAAGTATATGTGTGTGGACAGGATACAGGAATATAGTGTATTAGATTAATTGTAAATGTATGAGCCCAGGAAACAACAATAGCCTGAATATGTCTAACAACAACAAAGCCCCATTGAAAAGAAAATATAGAACAGTAGAAGAAAAAATAGAAAAGAAAGATAAATAAAAAAAAAACATGCAAAAAGAAAATGAACAACTGCATGCAAGATTTATTACACACAACACAGTGATGACAGAGGAGGAGTACAATTTCTGATGTTGATTTCATATTTACAATATTTATCTTCAGAACACATTCATTACTATAAATAAATACACTTTATTAAAACTGCAACTTCTTTTTACTGTAATTGGAGGCACTTGATTTTCAATCTGAGAAATAACATAATAACTTTGGTTTTGAAATTAAGTAACTTTACTCTTAACATCTATAAAATGTAAAAATAAACATGCAAAACTAAATCAAGATAATTGGTAAATAAAGAGAAATTAAAGTTATGACAGTCATGCAAGATTTACAATACAAGTAAACTGTATTGACAATTCAGATATGAGACATACACACTTAAGAACAAACTATTGTTAAGCGACAGATACAGATATAACTAATCCCTTAGAACTCTGTGCATGCAAAACAAACACAAATAGGACAATTTTACCTTCACTATCTGACATGGTGCCCTGAAGATCATCCAGGAGCACAGAGCCCCTCCCTCTAGTGGGCTCCTCCCTGATATACTGCTGCTGCTGCTGTTGGGGGTCTTGTAGGGACAGGCATGACCCAAACTGATCCCTGGAGTCAGCTGAGATGGGTGGAAGAGGTCCAGCGGATGCACGAGCCATCCCCATTGGCTGCCCCACGGGGCTAAGTGGACTCTCTTCTTCTGAGTTTTGAGCTACTATTGGTATCCTTCCACGCCCACTCTGCACTATGGGAAGGCTGGTGGGTTTGGTGCGACCGGATGGTGTTTGATAACTGGAACCATCGCCTGATTCTCCATCCCCTTTAAGTCTCAGAGAAGAGCTTGATGGGTCTCTTTTGATTGATAGGTCAAGCCCATAGCAAGATGTAGGTCTGGATGGAGGTCTTGAGCGGCTACCACTGGGATAGGCAGAGTCTAAACCTAAGCTCTGACCTAAATTTAAAGATCCAGCTAGATTAGCCCCCAGGTTAGACCCCAAGTACTTCTGCTGCTCTGCAATGTTCTTCCTAAGACCAAATGTGATCTCGTCTTGCATAAGTCGACTTGTTCTAGGTGACCCACTGGAGCCTATATAACTAGTATACTCTGACTCTAGCCCCCTGTCGCCTATGGAAGAATATTTTGAAGATATCTTAGGATCTATCAGTGGTGTCTTGTGTTTTTGGTACAACATAGAAGCTGGAAGTTGTTTGGCTGCTTGCTTCTCCAGAGTTAGCCTGCTAATGCTGTACTTATCTGTTTTAGGATATTGCCTTTGGGAGTAACTGGATAGGCCTGTTGTGGGGGTATAATAATGCTGAGACATCCCTGATAACTGCTCAAGGCTTTCAGTGCCACCTGTACTTCTTCTGAACTCCTGCTTTAGCTGTTGTTTAAGAAGTTTTAGCTCATAGGGTTCCTCCATTGTATCCTCCTCGTCAGGTGTTTTACCATATGTGTGTAGCCTGGAGGTTGAACCCAGATAATCTGTAGACCCCAAATCAGCAGCACTCCTTCTAAGCAACTTTTCTGCTTTAGCAAGTTCTCTCTCTGCCAGACTATAAGATGACGACAGACCAGTGGACCCCTTAGCTATTTCTGCAGCATCTTCCAACAGCATATAACTACGAGGTGTATGGTGATCCACGTCTGGGTAGTAGGAATCAGACACAGCTGACATGGGTGTGCTCGCTATACTTCCCACATCAAGGGCTCTGAGGTCAAGATGGTTTCCGTATTTGTCGTACTTGACCCCTAGGTAAGCTGATGAGGTGGGATCAGGCTGCCGACTAATGACATCATATTTAGTCGCATCAAGTTCAGAGAGGAGAGCAGCCTGTCGAGCGGCTTTCTGTTGGAGAAGCAGCATCTGATGATAGCTCTGCTGTTGTGAGCTAGTTAGCGATGGCACAGAGGAGTAGATAGAAGGGGACTGGTATGACTGAGGTGTCTGGTATAGGGACTGGTACTGGCTTTGTGAATATGGATACTGAGAGTATTTATCATAGTCACCTTTGGTTTGAGCATTACCAAAGTCATCTAGCTCAGACTGAGGGGCAGTTCTGGGACGTTCTAAACCGTGTACTTCAATTTCTTCATCCTCCACTGCACCGATGACACTTCTAGTCTCACGTATATGACTAACTTCGCTGTCAGACATGTAGTCACGTTCATCTGCAACACTTTGTAAATATGCCCTCTCCCTCTTGTCTCTTTCCTTTAGTAGAGCATCCTTTCTTCGGTTGATGCCCATTTCTAGGTACCTAAGCTTGGCATCAATCTCTTTCTCCTCCTCATCTAATTCAGCTTGGCGTTTACGAAGTTTTGAAGATTCTCTCTCTACCATGTCTAATTCCCTGTCAATATCTTGGAGGATTTTGGCCCGTGCCATATTTGAGTTGCGACACATACGTCTCCTTGCTGAGTTAGTGCTGTATGCTGTCTGTCCAGTTGTAGTAGTGGCAGTGGTAGTTGTGGACTCCTCCTCTGATGGAGGATTAGGCAGTGTCCTCTTCACCTTCTTCTGAGTGCCTGTGGGGGTACTGGCTTTGCCCTGGTGATAAAGAAATAACAATTAGATTAAGGACTCAGTAAATGCATGGGTTTACTATAATATAATTTAATACAATTAGAATGGAAACTTCCAGAAATAGAAAGTAAAGATTAAAGGGAGGAGGGAGAATTTGTGTTAGTATTAGTATTATTAATATGTTAGTATAAGTGGTAGTATTAAAATAATAATATTAGTATTGCTGTTAGTATTAGGCCAAATCAAAATGTGTCAAAACTATAAATGCAAACAGCATTCAGATGACTTCTTTTTCATTTAGTTGTATGCCTTTTTTACCCCTGGCAAATCCCAGTAAAAGTAAATCTATTTTTAATCAATGTAATATTGCAATATTTCTTCTTCTCTATATATAAATATTCTATAAAGTGGCATTTATTAGCCAAACAATGAATTACAGTATATAAGATTATTGAATTGTGACTATTTCTTTTTTTTAATTGTTTAAACTTAAAAATAGGAGGAAAGAAAGAAAAGAAGTCCTCTGGTCAGGAGAAGCATTGCAGGTTTAAATGGGGTAATTGCATTACTCACAGAATAGCTATCACCATACTGGGTGCCAGATGTTGCCCTCTCCTCTGCTGTTGGACTCATGGGCTTAGGATCAGACAGGGATCTCTGCATGGATTTTCCCCTTGGACTTAGTTTTTGGGGGCTTGTACCACCCAGGGATACAAACTCAAGAGATTTACTAGGGGATATGCAGGGGGATAGGGGAGAGTATAGCACTTTGGGGGATTTGGGGGGTTGCAAAGTGGAGGGGTCAGCTTTGAGGTTTGCAGATTGGCCTATTTCTAATGGAGAGGGACGTTTCTTTGGTGAGGTTCGCTCAGAGTCAGATAACTCCAATCTGGATTCCATTCTAATATTGCCTTCTGTATCAGTTTGTATAGAGATTTCAGTGTGGACTTGGTGAGATACCTCTGACTGTGAACTCCTATCTCCTCTGGCAGTGCGTGGCCTCCGATTCCTGTTCTCCTCCCACTCTTCTTGATCCTCATCATCTGTCTGCACACAGCTATCCACACTCTTTTTAGCATTCTTCTTCTTTCTTGCTGTGTATGCATTGCTAATAGTCTCATCCTCTTCATCTGTCTGACATCCACTGTCTGTAATCTTACGGGCTAGCACTGTGCCATCTGGCCCCAGGACTACTGCCTCCTGTACACCATGACCAGTAACATCACCTGGATACATCTGTCTAAGCTTTTGCTCCTCTAGCTGCATACGAAGCTGCTCTTGAAGCCTCTGAATTTGTTCTAGTTGCTGCTGTTGTTGGGCATATGTCTCTTTTTGCATTAATAAATGAGCTTGCCGTTCCTCCTCTTGCTGATTCAAAATCTGTTGTTTCATGGCCTGCAACTCCTCCAGTTCTTTCTGCACTAGGAGTTGTTCATGTTCCCTGAAGCGCTGAATCTCCTGACGCTCCTTTTCAAGTTCCTCGGCCAGACGTTGTTGTTTGAGTTTCTCCATCTCTAGTCTTTCGCGCTCTGCCTGATACTGTCCATCTCCAGCGACCATGGGGGAGGACAGAGCTTCCAGAGAGGCAGCAATGGCCTCTAGGGATGCATCAGTGTAAGTGTCCAAAGACAGTGAAGCTGTGGTGATACTCTCTATGCCCGTGGTACCTGCTCTGGACAGCTCAAGATTAAGTGGGACCTCTGCGTCTGTTGTGGATATGGTAGAGAGGAAACTGTGTGATCTGGTTAGTGGCATGTTCTGGAGGTTGGAGAGTGAAGGCATGGTGTCACTTGTGTGCATACCAGACTGGTTGTTATAGGTAGTACTAAATATGGACCCTGGCTGAGTAGTGATGGCATATGTGGAAGGGTTAGGTGATCCCACAGAGGAATAGACTATTCCATTTGATGACCTCAGAACATTAGTTGTACCGAGAGCTGTACCAACTGCACTTGTGGCTCTTGCATCAGAGTATGGTGGTATTGTCATGCCTGCATACATTCCTTTTTTGGAGTAGTCAACAGCTTCACCTGTTAAAAGTCAAAAATATCAGTTGAAAACAATGCCGATTTACTTTTACGTGATTGTGGAGCAAACCATGCCAAAACCATAATAATAATAAAAAATGGAAATGAAAAAAAAAAATGGTGAGTGCAACAAGGTTACAAAAAGATGACAGTCACCGCATGCAGACACATGCAAAAAAATAACACAAAATGTTAAATGTCCATGCAAAATGAATAAAAATGCCATTTTAGCCATAGATGAGTGGCAACAGTTCGAAATGACATTTAAGAGAAAGGTCTGTAATATCATTCCACTGACCTGCATCAGAAATTTTAGCTGAAGTAAGATCTACTGCACCATCTGTAGTGCCACTGAAGTTGTAACTATTCTTACTCTTATAAAAAAAGAGCCCAGCCTCGGCCAGATTGGTGTCTGACATTGAAGGTTTAATTCCTCCAAACCCTCTCATTCCATATGGGGTTCGGTCATACTGATAATGGTCATCACGATATCCAAAGCGATCTTCAGGCAGAGGTGTGGTGGGCTGCTGACTCGTACAACTTCCTGCAAATGGGAGATTATACACAACATCACAGCACACAGCTCGTTTCCCTGCAGTTAAATCCACTGGTTTGCCATCATCATCTGTGATTACTGCTGTGACAACTTCAGAGGAGGCCCCATCCACTGACACCATTGTGCTGAATGGTTTAGCTGTGCTTAGGTCAACAGCTCCAGCCACTGTCGCTGTGCCTGTAGTGAGGCCATTGGCAGCACAACTTGAAGCACATGGGGGTACTGTAGTTATAGGAGCACTCTGATATGTACCTGCACCTGATCCAACTGACAGATTTATTGGAATTTCTGTTCCAGTTTGAACGGGGGGCTGTGAATCAACTGGTCGATAGATAATTTGAGAAACAGGTTCAAATGATTTGTTCTTTGTCAATTGAAGTGGCACTGAGGAGGTTGTTGTAGTGTCTGCACTGTCCCATCTTTGAATCGTGGCAGCACATGTGACAATGGTGATGCTGTCTGTCGTTATGGAAACAGTGGAGGATTCTGCACTGAGGTTGACAACAGGAGACTGTACAGCACTGTTCTGACGACTGGCATCCGTTACGTACGACTGGCGTCTTGAGTCAGGGCCAGAGGACAGGTCAACGCCATTCATGGTTGATTGTTGATCGACTTTCATTGTTCTTAGATCCACAACTTCACAAGGTTGGACAGTCTGAGTTGTCTGTGGGGGTATCTGTGGCTTAGACTTATCCAGAGGGACACCGTTTGCCCTCGGGGCTGGCACTGGTGGGGCTGCCCTCTCATGAACAACTGAGACTGTTGTTCTTTGGACTTCAGTGGTAACAACTTGGGAGATCAGATTTGGAGTTACCACAGGTGGCTGAGCTGAAGCAGATATTGCCTCAATTATATGACATGAACTTGACACATGTTTCTCTGGGCTGCAGATTTCTTGACTTTCAATAGATTCTGTGACTCGTGTGTAAGCTAAAGGTACTCTTGGAGGATGAGGTGGAACTTCATGCGGTGGATAGCCCTGTTGTTGTGTTTGTGGCTGGGAATAATTTTGGGGCGGTGCTTGGTGCAAGGGAGATGCTGGACCAGGACTGGAAGGTGCTTGGGTCGAAATGGTTTCTACTGGAGAGCTTGGCTGAGATGGCAGTGTTATAACCACATATGTGTCACGAAGATTACTGGCATATCTTGGAGATGGGGGAGATCTTGGCGATGGTTGAAATTGCTTTTGCTCAGAAGTGGGGCTCAGATTAAGAGCTATTTCAGCAGGACCAGTGGGTAGCATTGTCGGTCTTGGAGGATGAGGGACATGGGCTGGAGAAGTTGGATGTGATCCTGGTTTTGGTGCAATTGGTGGTTTGACACCATGTGCTACTCTTGGTCCTTCACTCATTCCAGAAGGTATGCATGGTTTAGGAGGAACAGGTGGAGGTACATGAGCTTTGTATGTTGGTGTAACTGTTGGCTGCCTTGAGGGCGATCCTTGAACTGCGGTCATTGCAACTGAATCATCTGGCATTACCGGAGATGTTGATGCCTGAGGTGGCAAAGGAACTGGTGCTTTTCTTGGAAATACAGTTGGTTTTGGTGGGGTAGGGGGAGGAGCAATCGGCATATCTGCACTGTCTTGAGAATTGCCTCTTCGCATGACATGTGGTTTAGGGGGCACAGGTGGGGCGGTTGACACTACACTCTGAACACCAGGAGTGTATTGGGGGACTGTGGGTAAGGGGGCCACACTACCCATCATAGGGGTGGTTCTTGATAGTGCAGATAAATCCACTGCAGCTTGAGTGGTTGTAACTGTGATTTTAGATGGTTCGGGGGGAGAAACTGGGCTAGACTCACTGACTGGTGGAGGTTCGGGTGTGTCTGGCTCTTCCTCTTTCTTATACAAACTCTCATCATCTGAAGACAGCTCTCCTGAAGAACACTGAGTCACTTTTAAATCTGGGATGGGGTGCAGTGCCCTCTTAAATGTACCAGTTCCCTCATCTTGGTCTTGTTGAGTCGGACTTGTTCCTGGGGTTAGCACTTTTTTCATTAGCTCTTCGTAGGCCGTATCAGCATCCAGCAAAGGCTTTCCATCTGTGCCTATTGTTACTGTAGTGGGTTTGTTGATATTCTCAGCAGGTTGCAATACAATCTCAGGAGTTGGACTTGGTTGTTCTTGTTTTGGTTGCAGTTTCTGATACTCCTCCTCAAGTTTCTGGAATTCTTTACGCTTCTTTAACATGTCTTCGTAAACCTCATCTGGAGACCTCAACTTTTTGGGTTGAGTCGGAACAACCATTTTATCAGGTTCTTCTCTCTCATTTGTTGAATTGTCAATAAGGGAAGTATAGGCATAGTCTTCAATTAGCATTCCCCCATAAAGTGCTTCTTTCTCTGGTTGGTTGTCAACTTTATCAGTGGTTGGAGACTTAGCCCTCAACATGATCTCTTCATAAGCCTCATCTGCAGATTTGAGTGGTTTCTTTTGTGTTTTATCTTCATTTAAAGAGTCAGCAGATACCGGAAGTTTATATGATTTTTGAACTGCTGCGATCTTTGAGGCATGAATTTCAAAACCTTCAGGGTCAGATTCAAGACTGGGGGAGAAATCAGAACAAGAAGACCGCCTTATCTCTTCCATTTCAGCCTCCTGTCGTAGCTCCTCGGTTGGCGATGCATCCTCAATCGGCGACAGGTTACTTGGTGGAGTTTTTGACCGTTCCCGTCTCCTGCTTTTGTCTTCTTTGTCTTTTTTAGACTTTTTCCCTGAGCCTTTCTGTTTCTCCTGTTCCCTGAGTAACTCCTCTTCCTCACGCAGCTCTTCTTCCTCAGACGAGTCTTCAATAGTCGGTAATTGCCCTGGTTGTCTGTGCTTAGCCTTTCTTTGTTGCTTACCTTCACCAGTAGACATATTACTGGGACTGCTGCTGTCACTGTCTTCGTCAAATGAAGACATGGATGTTGGAGATGTACCTGGGGTGAAACTGGATGCATGTAGACTGGATGACCCCTCCCCTTTCGACCTGTCATCTGGTGAGTCTGTGAGGCACTCCATCTCTACCTCCCCTTCAGATGTAGCTATTCTCATACTCGGTGTATTAAGCTCCATAGTCTGAAATTGTCGAACTGCTGTGCCACTTTCTTCTTGTTTAGATTCTTCTTGTTTAGATTCTTTGCTCTCTTCAGCTGGTTTACTCAGTGCATCCCCTAAATGTTTCTCCTCCTCATCATCAGGGCTTATAGTAGCTTTTTTAGTAAGACGTCGGGCTCTCCCTGATGCACTCTTTTCTACATTTTCACTTATCTTTTCTTGCTCTTTGATCTTTTGTCGAATAAGGTTTTCCTCGTCTGTAGGAGAAGCATCCTCATTCTCACTCATTTCAATGATTTGTTTTCTAATAAAGTCCTCATCATCTCCCGATATGGGGCTCTCCTTTCCAATGCTCTCACTGCTGTCCTCTAGAGAGTCACCCCTAATGTCCATAGGCACCAAGAGCTTCTTCTTTTCTGGTACTTTGACATTTTGCTCAGGGATTTCTCGGTCTTCCTCAGAACTTGGTGAGTCAGGCATAATAGGCAGAACCTCTAGTTTACGTCTTGTTTTGGGAGTGTCTATGCTTGTTTTCTCTTCTGGCTTTGGTTGTGCTTCAAGAATAGGAAGGACAGTGTTCTCTAGTTTGGTAAGATCTGATAAGCTTGTGGGGCTGCCTTCTTTAGTCATAGGTTCTTTCTCTGTAGGAGCTTGCTCTGCTGTTTTCACCTGTGAAAAAAAGAAAAGAAAGTGTCAATAAAAATGCCATGTGGAGGACACACACATGCACCTCAATAAACTGTATATAAACTGTGAAATGCTGATTCATTCTGGACTCTTAAAGATGCACTATGTAAGTTTTTTGGTGGGTGTTCCCCAACTTGCTAATCTTTCATTGATTCAGTTACAGATGTATTATTGCTAAAATGCCTTGCATTCTTACTACGAGTGGGGCCGCCTCTCTGCTAATCTCATGTATAATTTGATTTGGTTTATTACCAAACATTACCTTGAAACAGTTCATGCAAAGCAATAACAATCTCCATGGAAACAAGCAGGCCAACAAAAAGGTTTTATAGTGCACCTTTAAACATATTTTTTCAAAGGATGAAAATATCTGACTTGATCACTGTATACAATTCCATTTTGCAAAATGATACACAAAATGATACATGCGTGATTTTGGAAACACAATACCATAATAACAATTTCAACCTGAATACTATTTACAGCACGCTTACTATAAATACTAGTCACACTACATGCTACAGTACAGTCACCTCAGCTGTGTCTTCTTCACTAGGCTTTACCGAGGACTCTTCTGTTTTCTCTTCTTGGTTACTTTTGTCCAGTGAACTACACACTACTGAGTCTGGGATGTCAGGTTTTGCTAGAGGAGGTGTAGAATCTAATTGAGACACACTTTGATTTTGTTCAACCTGTGATATTGTGCTGTTCTCTATCTTACACTCTGCAGTGGCATCTTTCTCACCTGCTGTGACAGTGTCTGAAATAGATATCTTAAGATTTTCTGCAACAGGTTGTGACTCGACTACATTTGTGCCAAAATCTCTCTCCTGTTCTGTGACTGACACATTCTGCTCAGCGACTTCCTCGACTTGTTTCTCATCAGTTCCTGTCAAAGCTGAAGGATCATAGCTAACTTCATGTTGGCTTTCTGTGACAATGTTTGCGCTGCTCTGACCTGGATCCTCCTGTGAAATTTCACTTTTGACAGCTTCTGAAGTGACAGCTGGAACTTGTATGTTATCTTCACTTAGCAAGCATTCTTTAGTATTTGTAGTGTCTTCCTCATGAAGATAAGATGACCCGGTTTGTTCAGATGTGCCTAAATTTCCCTCAAAATGTGTATTTGCTTGGGCTACATCGTGGTTTGATTTCTCTATCACAACAGTATTATCTTCTGTTTTAGTCAATGATAAATTGGTGCATACTTCTTCATTAATCACAGTCCCTCCTAACTCTTCCTGTGTGTTCTTTACAACCTCTTCTACCTTTACCTGAACCGACTCCTCTGCCATCACCTCCTCTTGCTCAAATACCTTTCCATCATGTGATTTATCCATAGCTACAGGGCTCTCAATAGCACTCTGTTTGATAGTTTCCATTTTAACAACATCCTCCTCCACAGCACTGTTATTTCCAGGTGTTACCTCGACAATATTTTCTTTCCCTGGTTTTACCTCAGTGACTATATCCTCTGTAGGATTTTCAGTTTCTGGAGCTTGTTCAATTATGCTTTCAGTTCCCTTGTTTTCAATGCACTGGTGCCCTTTCTCTATAACAGTTTCAACGTCAGACTTGTTTTCTGTAATATTTTCTATTTTGGGATGACTTCCAGTTTCAGTATTTATGAAACTGTCATCCTTAACTTCAGCTGCTGCCTGACCCAAAGGTGTAGGCTGTGTATTCCCTATGTCTGGTTTTATTTCAGTAATGATTTCTGTTGGGGGGTCACAACCTTTTTCAGTCTCTACAATATTTTCACAAGAAGCTTCTGGTTGAGACTGATCTATTGGAGTGGACGGAACATTTTCAACTACCTGGGTTTCTTGCTGTTCTATTACATCAGCAGCTTTATTACAATAATTTGGAGTGACTAGAGTATCCTCTGCAGTCGTTGCTTCACCTGAGTTTGTTGTCTTGTCTAAAAGCGCATCTTGAGTAGATGACGCTTCTTCCTGCTTATCTGACGGAGCCTCACTCTGACTAATCTCAGGATTTGGCTGTGTCTCAGAAAGAGCTGTTGTTTTGTCTATTTCTGTTTTGCTCAATAGATTTAGCTTCTCACTTTCCTCTGAGATAGACTGAATGAGTGTGTTTTTGTCTTCCTGATCCCCTGCTACTACACTAACAGGTACGCAATGTTCAGTGTCTGTCTCAGGTTTAGGGCCAGCCTTCTCCCTCTCTAAGCTGTTCTGTTTTTGCATCACAGCTGGGAGTTCTGCGACATTCCCTGTAATACAGCCATCAGTTTGATCTTGTGCTATTTCCTGCTGAGGTATGCTGTCAGGAGGAGAGGTAACACTAGCATTGTCAAGTATGGGAGGGATTGGATCTTCTACCTTTGCTTCAGGAGCTGCAGGGTTCAAGTCAGCTGGTTCCACTACAGGTTGGCTATCTACAGAAGCAGGGGCAGCAGGGATTGGGGGGCTTGCAGGGGCTGGGGGGGTGGTAGAGGTGGGAGCAACAGGGACAGGAGCTGATGGTTGTTTCTTTGGAGACTCCATGGCTGGAGGTGGCACATCTCCCAGCTGACCTGACATGGCCCTCTGCGTCTGACAGTTGAGACACAGCCATTCTTTCTGCAAGAGAACAAGAAAGAACAGAAAACAACAAGTTAGTAGATATTCAAAGGTTATAGAAACATTTATGTCCACGTTTTTTCATTCTGTTCCAACTCCCAGCTAAAATATAATTGTTATCTGTCAGTTGCTTGGCATGATGTACTCGAAAGTCTACTTAATAGACCATAAAAAAAATGAAAATGCACTTTTTAAGTAGTTGCACAGTAAACATTTTACACAATCTTCTAGCTGTATCTGGTTTTATATCTAAAAGCTTTCAAAACTGAAAAAAAAGCAGATGTCGCTTACTTGAAAGGATTATTATAGTTACTTATTTTCTAAGAAGGCTTTATCAGATTGTTGTTATGTATTTACTACAAAACTTGTATGTTATCTTCACTTGGCAAGGGCTCTTTAGTATTTGTAGTGTTTTCCACATTTCTCATAAGCTGACCCAGTTTGCTCAGATGTGACTAAATTTTCATCAAAATGTGTACTTGCTTGGGTTGCATCCTGGTTTGATTGCTCTATCACAGCAATATTATCTCCCATTTTAGTCAGTGATAAATTGGTGCATAATTCTTCATTAATCACAGTCCCTCCTAACTCTTCCTGTGTGTTCTTTATTACCTCTTCCGCCTTTACCTGGGCCGACCTCTCTGCCATCACCTCCTCTTGCTCAAATACCTTTCCATCCTGTGATTTATCCATAACTACAGGGCTCTCAATAACACTCTGTTTGATAGTTTCCATTTTAACAACATCCTCCTCCACAGATGTCGCTTACTAGAGTAGAGACATACACTATGTTGCAACAGAAGTAGGTGTATGTAGGTCACAGTTTCCCACAAGCTGGTGATGGAACCCCCCTACTTAATCAATAAATATTGCATAGGTAAGTATTACTTACCTAACAATTTGAACACTTTTAGCATATTTTGTTGCACTGTCTGTTATATAACAATGAGTTGTATACATGTGGCATAAGCATTTTCAGTTTACAAAAAAAGTAAAATGTTAATAATGTTAGAGTTGGGACAAAAGAACATATCTACATCATTAAAACGTCAATGTGACCAAACACGCAGTAACTTCTTCTATTTCAAGGGGCTTTTACATCTATGGGACTCCAGAGATATGCGTATGCATAATACATGGTAATGGGACAGGGCTTCACCATGGCCTGACTCAGAGGGTTGAGCCTTCTTGAGCAGACAAAACATGCTCAGAGCACACTGAACTGGGTTAGAAGAGTATGTAAGATTTTTGAAACAGATGCTATAATTTATCATCAAAGACTAGAGCATCAGTTAAGCCTGTCAAATTTTTAAGTGCAGTATATGGCTTCCCCAAAATATTCAAAAAGTACAATATTGTACAAAAAAAATTATGTGCTGCTGAAAATAAATAGCAGAATGACGCACTGCAATTTAGTATCTACGAGTTATTTATTCACCTCCCTACAGCTCAAATCATGTTTTAAAAAAACAAAACAAAAACTCCCTCTCATAAAAAGTAAAAAAGCATTCACGATAAATACTGATACAAGTTATTATTCCATCATTTAAGTTGTTATTATCATAATGGACCGAGCATCAGTAAGAGAATAGGAATCACCTGTTAAATTATTAATATAAGCCGTTACATCAATATTATAACCATTAAAGTACTAAAATGATTGTTGTAGTTACTTATTTTCTAAGAGGGCTTTATACTGGTCTGACTATTGTTATGAATTTACTATGAATGCTTTATAAAAGTGCAGTAAGATAGTGCAGGGTGGTACTATATATACACTTTTAGATATAGATTCATAAAATATGGGGTAACTACAAAGTTGACTTTAACACAGGAACAGGATCTCCTCACGACATTAACAGTATTGAAAAACAAACCACTTTTTAACAGACAGCCTATTCAGAGTGGTAGTAGTCAGCAGCATGGTGTGTGACGTAAACACCTTATTTTACATTTCAGCACCCTCTCCCTCCTCTCCAACACGCCCCAGTGACGCTGGCATATGCATGAGCGCCATCAGCAGCTTAACGGAAGGCTTTGTGCTAAAGTCAGGCCTCAGAGAATATCACAGCTCCAGTGTTAAGCCCTGCCGCCGACAGCCATCTCCTCCTCTTCAGTTTAGAGTCGTAAGAGGAGAGTGGAGAGAGAAGGGAAAGCAGGTCAGATCAAGAAAGTGGTGCAGCAGTATGTAAATAAGGCATGAGACAGTGTGTCATGCTAGGACTGGAATAAAAGCAACATTGGTGTTGTTGTTAAAATGTTTAAGGTGAGCCACTCAGTTCAAGGTCAGCTATTCCGTGGACACTATCAGGTGTAAATTTTTATTACAGCCAACTTAGGGGTTGGCTATTATAAGGTAATATCATATATTTTAAGAGTGCTATTTAAATGACTGTTCACCATTCAGCCATTTCCTCTTCACTTGCACCTACTATGGTCACAAAGTAAGATTGTAAAGCTGTGTTCTAGGGTTGTCAAAAGCTCAAATACAAATCAATATTATAAATAGTATCAAAATTAGTTACTTATTTAAGCAAATTTATCTTAGCTTCATCCTAAAATGCCAACTCAGAGAAGACAGAAAAAAGGCAAAGTTCCAAAAAAAGGCAAACTAAAATAAGTTCCTTCGTCTGTATAGAGTGCTGACGTTAGTGAGTTGCATCCAATAACTTGACAGAAAATCCACTTAATCCAGAGACATGATGTGGACCAATGCCGTGATTCCCCATGGGGCGCACTGGAGAGTTTGTACAGCTTGACGGCTCTATCAGTTAAAACAGAGAGGAACAGGCACTGAGTGGAAGAGAGATGACCATAGATAGTGAATTTAGAAAAGATACTCAGTCAGATAGATAGATACTTGCTGACATTATCACACCATCTCAGTGAGGGCAATTAAAGATACACATTTTAGTGGTCTGGACAAAGACTTTATTTATTTATTTTTTCTTTCATGCCTCCTGGTTGGTCCTATGTATGTATGTGTGTGTATGTATGTATGTATGTATGTATGTATGTATGTATATATATATATATATATATATATATATATATATATATATATATATATATATATATATATATATATATATATATTCTAGACCAGCCAATTACACAGTGCATTAGGGATGACAAATACTGAACGTGTAAACGACTTTTGGCCTATATGATAGTTATTTCTTTTGTACCTGACTAAAAGGATTGGGAGCATGGTGCACGCCCACCGCATCTACAGCTGAGTGGACACGCCCAACACGTCTGGATCTGGAAGCAGGAGATGTAGTCTACCTGTTGTGTTCACAGCAAGATGTTGTGTAATATTTCACTCTGGGTGATTGTGTCAAAATGATCCAATGAGTCAGTCCCTATTTTGGTAGCAAATTGTGTGAACTAGATCATTATACACATTATATAAGCCTGTACATGTCTACACAAACACTACATTCATGACAGTGAAGACACGGACAGTATTTTGTGTTTGACCATGTTTATTTGTTACACGACATAGTGATATGGCACCTGTTATAGGAGCGTCTGGAGCAGCGAACAGATCAAGTCGTTGAGCGCGTTTATGCGCTGCAGTAAAGAACAACGTTTGTTATTTCAAACCAGGTCTTGATGGGAACATGTGCGGGATACATTTGGATTATTTTTCAATGGGGAAATAATACGCCACGATAAAGAAGGTTTAACGCGACAATACAGCTCTGGCAGTTTTGTGTCTCTATGGGAGTGAATGGAAGCGAGAGGACACGCCCCCCATGCTTCCAGATGTGGCCCCGCCTTTACCAGTTAAGCTGATCGCCAGACAATCCGGAACACCGGTCGCGATCGAAGCGGCTCTTAGTGCCGACTCTTTGAAGTGAACAACAGGAGCCTTTTTCTCACTTTTTCTCTTCATGCCGCATGTAGACCCATAGTTTGACAGCAGCAGCGGCTGATAACGAAACTTTCAGAAATCTGCGTGTGCATAGGATAAAAAAAAGTGCATATTTGGCTGCAGTTCAGCATAAAATGAATAAACCAGGACTAAACTTGGGCTTGAGTGAAGGAGAGAGATAGAAACCGAGTCCCGACACTCAGTCCTGGTTCAGTTCTGGTTTAGTCCTGCTTGCAACAAAACCATCTCAAGAGTCGCTTGGGAGCCGAAAGAGCCAGCTGCTTTAGTGAGCCGAGCCGGTTCTCAAAAAAAAAAACTGGAATAGAGCTCCGGGAGCTGACGTCATACCGGCTCGTCAGGCACAAGGTGTCGCCATTTTGGCAGTAATCGGCAGATCGGCTGACTCGCGCTGTACGACTCCAGCGCAATAACAGATTGTTCTCCAGACGCAGCCGCGATTCATTTCCGAATTATTTTGCCAACAATTTTCCAATACAGATAATGTAATACACAAAGATCAGAGCAAGAACCAATGTGCGAACGTGTGGCTCCAAAGTAGCAATCAGCAATTGTTATTTTAGGCTTATAATTAACCAAATAATTTTATGGAAATAGGCAATAGCTTATTCAATTGATTCAACTTTAAAAATGTCCTGCTTTTAGCCTAGTGTGAGAAATGCTACAGTCGGACTAGATCCAAACCAGAGTCCTGAACCAGCGGGAGAAGCTCCGGTTCAGGCCGGGCTCAGAGGAGCTACAGCGGGGAGTGGTGTCAGGAGCCTTGGCCTGACAAGAACGTTCCCCAGGAACAAAGAGCGCGGAGGTCGGACGCTCAGAACAACATATAACCCACCAAACTATTCACGCTTCTGTCCGGATGCTTTGCATCACCTCGGAACCAGCCGCAGTTCTTGACCGTCGGAGCGAACTGTCCAGACCTGTAGTCCACAGTGCATTCTCGCTTTTCCCGCAAGGAATCAGCGTGCAGACGATGACACGGCACAGCTCAGACCCAGCCCATCAAGCACTGGTCTTGCTCGCTACCGTCTGGAACCAGCACATGGAGGACGGAGCCTCCGGACCAAGGACCAGACCGCAGACCCCGTCCTGAGGGATCTGA